TCCTTTTTTTTCTGTGGCCAATGAATGGGCAACTTCAGCCGCAACTGCTGCGCCTTTCTTTCGGTGATGCGTTCGTTTTCAAGGCTGTTGGTTGCAGCTGTTCCGTGTGGCGCAAGAGGGGCGTCTGTGCATTACTTGGTTTGCCCTGCTTGTTCGTAGTCATGTATTCTTTGGACGGGGTACGTAGTGGGTATTTACATCTGACGGCAGGTTTAGGGATCACCATATCCTTGGCCTTCCACCATTTAAATACATTTTGTTTAGTACTAATGCTTCGTTTGCTTCTACAACTAACGACGTGCTGCAGCCGCAAGGCGGTTTCAGTTTTTACCTTTCATTGTTCTGCTACATATACTGCATCTTTCCGGGGGTGTCCATTTGTGGATACACCTCATTACCTATTCGGGTCTGCAGATGCTACTATTTGCTGCTCAGTTGTCTCAGCCTATCCTCGAGAAGAACAGAGGAGGAAGATCTAAATCTGATTTCTGTCCGTAACCACCAGGGTCTCTCTGCAGCAGCAGTTGCTACCGCTGCAGCAGCAACAGTTGCTGGTGCGTCCGTGCTGCTTCTGCAGCCTACGCAGCAGCGCAAGTTTTTTAAATCAGTCGTCATCGTATCCATAGGAGCGATACTGCTGCTGCTGCTGCATGTGGATGGCACTTTGCTGCAGGGCCGCCTCATATTCAGCAATTTGGGGCTGCTCAGCGAGCCGCTGCAGTGCCAGCTGCTGCAACTGGATTGCCCTGTCTCTGAGCCATGCGGAAGGTGAGCCGACTGGATTGAAAAGGAGACAGTTGGATACGATGAGGTCTATATCTTCTTTAAATGCAGCCACTGAGGTGTACTGACGCTCCCTACACTTCGATAAAACTTTCCGCAAAAACATGGGATGCTGCACCACCACTGAATACCCCGGAGCCACGCGGTCGTCCACACGATTAACGAACGGCTGTAACACAAATGAACAAACAAATAAATGCACAAATGATAAATAGAGAGGAGGTATATAGCTCTGTGAGAGAAGCCCCAACAAAAAAATGAATACAACCAGAAGTGGAAAATGCCGACCCAACAAAAACGAGCAAGAAATATGCGCCAAAAGAAGAAAAAGAAATAAACAAGTAAGCATATAAACAAGTAAACGAACAAACGCATAAACAAACTAATAAACAAATGAACAAGCGATGATTGGCAGGAGCGTAACACACAAAGTGGCGCAGTAGAACGGCTGCAAACGCAAGAAATGCCGAACCCAATCTACACGCGGAATAACTGCATGTAGGGACGGCCGCCAAACCCACAATAAACTAGCAACTAACCCTACAGGCAAACCAGTATTGTAGCAGACCCAAAACAACTGCTTCAGCAGCAAAACAAGGCCGACGAGACGGAAAAAACAGACAATAGGGATCTGCTGTAGCAGCAAACGTGACAA